TCCTTTTCTTCGATCGTATCCTAGATAAGATAATAATTTTACGAGTTTACTTGAATTACCTCAAGACGAGTTGAAACGAAAGAACGATTAAATTCGATATCCTTTGCTGTTTGTTTTATCCCTGAGAAAATATTTCGCCAGAGAAATATTCGACGACGAATCATCATTCTTGTTCGTTCGTGAAATCATTCGTTGTTTGGCGAGTTTCTCTCCGGCAAAGTTGTTGCTGTCGGAAAATGGAGAGGAGGAGGAAAGAGAGAGAGAGAGAGAGAGAGAGAGAAAGGAGGAGGAGAAGAAGAATAAAAAATTCCCGACAGTTTAAGCCGAACGGTTTAGCCGGTTTACAGAGGCATTCACTGTCAGCACGTAGTTGGTCATAAAAGACCGCGAGCCGAAGTAGCGTATAACGTACCGCGGTTATACAAGCATCGTGAAGCGTGTAGCGTGGTAGCGACAAGTTGGAGAGCCAGGTTGACGAGTGAACTTAGCTTCTCTCTCTCCTCTCTCTTTCTCCCTTTCTTTCTTTCTCTCCTCGGCTAGTTGGGAACCGATCATCGCGTTGCAAGCTGGTAATCAGCCAACTCTTCCTTCGACTTCGACCGACCTCTCCTCTTTCTTCCGTCTCTAACCACCCGTCCCCCTCCTCCCGCCTTTCCTCGCCTCGTTTCTCCTTCTTCCCCCCCCCCTCCCCTTCCCCCTCCGGTCCTCCGGATTCACTTTGCCAAGCGCAAATTGTCTTCCGAGAATGCGCCACGTTTCAAGATATTGTAGAAAGGTTCAACGTTCCGACTTCAGAGCGACTCTTGGTGGCGACTCTCCTTCATTTTTCTCCATTTTCCTCGCCGTTTTCTCCCATCCATCGCACGGTGGAGAGAAAAGATGGAAAGGTATCGGTCTATTTCCATTGATCCCCCTCCTTTTCTCTTCGTCCTTCCCCTTTGTATTATATTCGTTTCCATCGTCGGATCAGGAATTTCTCTCGCTTCTTTTTTTCGTTTTTTCTCGCGGATTTCTCGCCGGGAGATTGGAGATTTCGGTGGAAACAGGTGCGCGTGACACGGAAACGGGAAGTTTATACGTGGTGTTCGTTTTAACTTGGTCGCGGCGGACCACGTGAAATCGCAATTTGCTCGGAAATTCGGGACGATTCCTTTTTTTTTTTCTTTCGCTACTATGGTGGACCACTTTTCTTATCTCGTCGACCGGGTTTCGGTATTAACTCGATATGTTAAAAATTTCGAACAAAGTTACTTCGAGTTGAATTATTGAATTATTGAAATTTATATTTTCGTACAAACCTCGGTCTTGTTCGGCATCAGTACATCTATTTATTCGTAACTCGATCTCGGTTTCGATGATATACGAAACTCAATAACATTTTCCTCGAACATATATAACTAATTGGAGAAATTTGCAGCTGCCGTACACGATGTCGGTGGACATCAGCAATCCGTCAGCGCTGACCAGCTCCCTCAATATATCCCAGGCCGGTGAGATCCCGGTCGGTGGGCTGCAGACGTGGGCCCTGGCCCTCCATTGCGGCCCCTACGACGCCGAGGTCGATCTCAGCCTTCGAATAAACGTCTCCCTGTCGAGGAGGAACACGACCAGCCTCGATTTCAGGCGGAAGAAAATATGTCTGAAGGATAAGAGCAACGTGGGCGCGGAGGAGGTCCTCGTGGCCGCTTCCGGATCCTCGTCCGGCGGACAAGTGTTCTACGCGGCGATAGGCTGCGCCTGCGCGTTCATCGCCGCCATTTTCGTCCTCGTTATCGCTTACTACGTTCGCGACAAGAAGACAAGGAGGCATCGTGATCCTCTCCAGTACGTACTCTCTCGATCCTTTGCACTTGTCGCCATCCTATGTTTTATTATTTTAAATATATTTACATCGGTAAATACATATATAATATAATTCTTATATAAATAATATAAATAATAAATACAAATACGAGTGCAAAGGGTTAAATCTTTTGAATTCAATTTTTTTCTTTTACATTTATTAAACGATTCGATCTCACCCCGATTTCTGAAGGGAATCGAGGGGCCTGAGCTCCGCGTGCAGCGTGGAAAGGGGCACAGGAGTCGGACCCGCGCAAACCTTTTTGTCACCCGAAACACCTCCGCCTGCCTCCGCGACATCCACCTCGACCTACAGACGATTGGACGATCGACCCAGCCGAGAATTGCACGAGAGGATTCAAGAGATCACCGTCCAAAGGTGAGTGAGCCCGCGGAAAATTATTATTCGTCCGTTTCGACGATCGAGAATCTGCATGGAAGTTGTTTTGAGATTCCGTTTCACCGAGTTCTTTGAAGTTTTTTTTTTTTTTTAAATAAAATTATTCGATTGGAAATTATCGGATCGAATCAAGAGGTTTTGTCTTGACTCGAGTTTTCAGGTCGAGTAGATGTTGAAATACACAAACCCGATACTCTTTACTCTTTTTCCCTTCAGCTTGCCGATAATTCGGCGAGGAAAATATAATTATCGGTTCGTTGGACGGCGTGTTCACGAATCCTGAGAGGCTGTAATCGTTTGCCTTACAGATGCAGGGTACGCCTCCTCAGCATCGAGATGGAGGGCACATTCGGTCGCGTGTACAGAGGCAGTTATCACGAGGAGGGCGCGTCCTCCCCGAGGGATGTCCTGGTGAAAACTGCCGCCGAACATGCATCACAGTCACAAGTGAGTGTTCCTTCCTTTTTCGATGTTCCACGACGGAATTACAATATATACGCCAAACCTCCTTCTAAATTTACACGTCTCGCGAGTAGAGAGACATAACACGCTTGCACGTTTTATATATTTTCGAAATTTTCGTTCGAGAAAGGTCGCCCTTCTGCTACGAGAGGGTTTAGCCCTGTACGGTTTGAGCCATCCAGCCCTGCTCCCTGTTTTGGGCGTCTCGATCGAGGATAGAAGCGCTCCTTTCCTCCTCTACCCGCACACCGGTTACAAGAACATGAAGAGGTTCTTGGTGAGGTGCAAGCTGAGCAGCGAAGGGCCACCGAGAGCACTCACCACGCAAGAAGTCGTGGAAATGGCACTTCAGGCCGCCAAAGGGGTCCAGTATCTTCACAGAAAGAGGCTGGTGCACAGAGACCTGGCCGCCAGGAATTGCGTGTAAGTGAATCGTCCGCACTTAAAAAGTGTTAACTAGTCTGTTCAAAAAGGTGATTTCAAAATGTCTGCCAATTAAAATTATTCGCGACGAAGAAAGATAAAAGAGACGTTTCAATTTCTCCTCGTATTTATATATATATATATATATATATCAAGTCTCTTACGAAATAGTATCCAAGATGGCCGAATAATTTTTACCGACCGAACGTCGGTATTTATCGCGTCGAATATTTTTCACCGAAACACTACCACCAGTCGGTTAAGTTTCGTTACAAAATTAATTGGCCGTGTGGCATTAATTAGCAATAAATAGCGTGGCCGGCTCGGTTGAGACTGTTTAATTACCGTCCGCTACTGTTTCGTCGTCGCTGGAACGACTTCAACATCTCCCTTCCTCTCCCCCCTCCTCTTTATAGGAGTTTTTGCGTTCACCGCTCGACGACGAATTTAAACCGAGTGCTCGTTTATTTTACGCGCCCCTCGAATCTTTATTATTAACATCTCGGTGAATTTAACGCCCCACGGTGGCTCGAACGATGTATACAAATTTATTTAAGAAATAATTGTTACGATGCAACAACGTGTAACAACCATGCATTGAAATATATTACACGATTAAAATTTTCAATCCTCTTTTTAAACGTATACGGATTAAACAAGCAGAAAATTGATCGGTCGTGTTTCGATCTCGAAACATTTATTTTAATTTAAATCGTTATCGATAAGTTTTTTATTTATTTATTATTTTTTTTTTTTGTAAATTAAGCTTAAAGTTAAGTAATCGATTCAGAAATTCAATACGATGTGATGATTTGATTCGCAAAATTTTGCAAAATTATACTAAAATTAATATATTATATTTCTATGATTGTTTATTCATTATATTTTGGAGAAATAAGCGATAGTAATATTCCTAATTTTAATTGGTAGTTTTTTTTATTTCTTTCAATGTTTAAGCGGGTGTAGTATGTCTTCTTACAATGCTTTTTCCAATTCTCAAGATCCAAAAGAAATAATAAATTATAATAATCAATATCAGCAATATCGTTTTCTAAGAATTAAATCTTCATGCAAGCTCAAGATCGGTAAAGAGAAATAGATAATTTCTATTCCAGTGGGGGCGCTGTCGTTCGAGCTACCGTAGAGCGCCCTCTCCGTTCCCAAACTAACCTTCCATCATTTTTTCTGTTTTCTTTTCATGAGCAGCGTTGACGACGATCTGAGAGTTCAAATCACGGACAACGCCCTGGCCAGGGACCTGTTCCCTCAAGATTATCATTGCCTCGGGGACAACGAGAATCGTCCCATCAAGTGGCTGGCCATCGAAAGTTTGCTCAACAAGACGTTCAGCACCGCCTCCGACGTGGTAAGCGAGCAATATTTTCCAACGATTTGACTCGAACATTTCTTCTCGATCGAAGTTGGGAGGATATTGAAAATACATAATATTCCACAGTGGGCATTCGGCGTATTGTTATGGGAGTTGACCACGTTGGCCCAGCAACCGTACGTGGAGGTAGACGCGTTCGAGATGGCTTCCTACCTCAGAGACGGTTACAGATTGGCGCAACCGATAAATTGTCCCGATGAGCTGTTCGCCGTTATGGCTTATTGCTGGGCAATGTCCGCCGACGAGAGGCCGACGTTTAGCCAGTTGATCGTCTGCCTTCAAGATTTCCATACTCAATTGACCAGATACGTTTAAAACCGTTCCACCGTTTTCGATTCGGGAAAAATACGAATTCTTTGAGAATTTTCACGATCGAAAATATATATATGTATATATATATATATATATATTACATATATATATATATATGTAATAGCGTTTTAGTACTTAAAGGATTATTTGAAGAGGAAATTATCGAGATATATATATATATAAATATTCGCGACGAAAATGATATCGGCCGTTTTTATTCGGATCATATTTTGAAAGAAAGAGAAAGAAAAAAAGGGTATTTATCGTAGAAATTTATCGTGTAAATTCTTCTCCGAAAGTAGGATGCAGGCACGTATAATTTCTGTAATAACCGGTTAATAACCGGTTACACGCTGTAAGAAAGTTTGGAGTTAGAAGACGTATAATTTATCTCTTTGTAAGACTGAATTAATTAATTAATTAATTGATTAATCACCGCCCACGTTGTAGGTCCGAAACCACGATATTTAAAAAAAAAAAAACGAACTGGCAAACAACCCTGCATCAAAAAAACTGCCAATTTCTCGTACTCGCTTAATGCTCGAGCATTAATCGAGCAAAAAGAAGAGGAAAAAAAGAAGCAATTTTTTAAATTGTGATTGTGATACGCTTCGCTTGCCACGTAAAGAGTGTTTCGAGTGTGCCAATACACCCTTCCCCTCCTATCCCCTTCTTTGTATTTTTGTATATATTTACATCTCCATATATGTATATGTATTAGCATTAACGAATAAGAAGAATCGTCCGTCTCGACGAGAAATTTCTGTATATATATATAGCGAACAATGGATAGATACGAGATGTACAGATCGCCGGACAATTAACAATTACAATAAAGCGTAATGTATTACGATGCACGAACGATCGATACGATTGGTCCACGATCGATAACGACAACACGGTTTTTACTTCTTTTCCCCCTCCTTTTTTCCCCAACGTTTATTTTTAGCTCCTTGGCTGTAGAGAGCCGAGTCAGAGACGCGAGGCGAGAGCTTTTTTTTTCTGGTTTTCTCGGAAAACGTTCGTCAAATCGTGATGTATCGCCTCGTTAAACGACTCCTGTAATTCTCCCCTGCACCCTGCGCGGCCTGGGCGGGGAAAATTAATGGGCCCGTCTCGTGACGTCTTGTTTAAAATGACGGACGAGCTCGCGTCCAATTTTCCGCCACTGTTTCGCACTGTAATCGGACACATCTTAACCCGTGATAAAGAGCCGGGGAATCTCTAAATTATGCCCGCCATATTTCTTCCCTTAACTCGTTCTCTTCTTTTCCCTTTTTCCTTTTTCTCTTCTTTTCGGAGAGCAATCTTCTCGCCCCGACTCTTAATTAATCGCACGTGTCGCATGTTATTTTTATAATCGATATTGAGAGTTCTTTTTTTTTTTTTTTCAATTCAATTATACAATTGAATTGAAATAATTAGAAATTAAATTATTTCATCTGAAGTTAAATATGATAAATGTAAGGCGAGAATATTAAAAATTAAGCTACTTAAGTCGAACACTAAATTTGTAAAATTGAATAAATCCAAAGGGAGAATTTATTACAGGATATTTGTTGGAGAAGTATTGACGTGGCAAATTACAGAAGCTGCGTTTATAATCGATATCGAGATTTCTTCTTTTTATTTAACTATACAATTGAACAATCATTAAAAATTAAGCTGCTTAAGCTGAATTTATTACATACATTGAGACTTTTTTATTCAATAATATAATTGAACGCAACGATCATTAAAAAAGTTAAATTATTTTACATATTTCGTAGAAGTAAATTCGTAAAATTGATTTCAAATGTAAAACGTGAATATTTATCGACAGAAAAATTGACGTGTCAATAGAAGCTACAATTTTTATTCCCTCGCTCGTAATGGTTCGTAAATTTCCCGATAATACGGGTCCGATTAGACACAGTACATTGGCCGCTTCGTTCATCTACGCTTCATCAGCGGTGAATGCAGTCTGGATTCGAATTTCGTATTTCTTGGAAAAAAGGACCTGAACAAAAGCGCGAAAAACACGTATAATAATTAAACGTTCGATCGCATAATAAAATTACTTTTATTATTCACACAAAAAGTATTATTATATATTATTTTTAAATTCAATCGTAAAAATTATGTCGTAACCTAACCTTGTTAAATTCGGATTAAGGTAGAAGAAAAACAAAGGACGATAAAGAGGAGAGGCGGGGATAGGCGAAAGCGGAGGGTTTTAATGAATTTCAATGAGCTTTCGCGACCCTGCCCCTTCATTTGCACCAGGGGCTTAGCCAAACGTTAGACGTTAAACGGGGGAATTTGAAATTGCTTCAATCCCTTGTGTACCCAGCACGATCGTGTCGAGACAGGGTGCATTTAAGAGTAGTCATTCTTTATTCCATACACGTCGAAAGAGCAACACAACGTCATTCACGCATCATCTTTGCTCGTCTTTTTTTTACCCTCCACTGTGAAGGGGTTCCATTCATCGTTCACGTTTCTTTGGTCTTCGAATTTTTCTTCTTAGGTTGAATTGTGAAAATCGAAAAACAACTTACATACGAAACATTCGTTTCGATTCGTATAACTTAACGTAATACGTTGAACTTATTGTGAGAATTAAAAATGTACATACTTTCGATTCGAAAATTTATGCAAGTCTTTTCTAATTAATCAGTAGTAACAATTATTTAAACTTAAAGAATTTTTCCACGCTGTTCACTTTCTGGCGGATAAAATGAAAGCCTGTGTTATATCGTATCGTTTCAAGTCGTCTTTCTTCTCTCATAACCTGCAATCGCGAACTTTTGTGAGATATAAAGCAATATACTTTTGATTAATAATTTCTATCGTAGAATATTTAATTTCACGTGAGATATTGCGTTTAATAAAATTTTCATTTTATTATAATCAGACAAATAAAATAAGTAGAACAATTTATTTATCAAATAGTTGAATTGATCTTGGATCGTTCAGATTTTTCATCGTAAAATCTTCTTCGTGCCAATCAGATTCACGTTGTAATTTTCTTACCTCGTGATCGTCGTCATTATATTATTATATCATATGCATCCTGTTCGAATACTTATCCTTGGAGAGTAATTCCGCAGGAAAATACCGGTTGAACGAACAATGAAGAAACAAATAACGTTCTTTTATTCTCTCGACGATGTTTACCTCCAAATATCCTGTATGTATAAAAAGATTGCACTTGATTCTCAAGAAAATGAAGATTCGAAAAATTTCGTGGATTCGAACGAGGTTAATAAGGTGGATCGACTGATTTCTAAATCCTATTGGATTGTTCAGAATTTCGTTTTTTCACATGAGTGTCACTAGTCGAACGTTTGTCCAGCCAACTTCATTCTAGAGTAGAAATTATTAGGTTGTTCGGAAAATAATTTCGTTTTTTCACACGAGTGTCGCTAGTCGAACGTTTATCCAGCCAACTTCATTTTAAACCGTATTGTTATATATTTCGAGAGTGTTGGCATTTCATGTTTTATTTATTAAAAAAATTCGTTCGATTCTGTGCGATTGTGTTTTTCGTGTGTGATAACAAAGATGCAAAATCAAAGGAGTATTTTCGGCGTATTTTACCTTTTTATTACCACAAAAATAAGAATATTGTTCAGGCAAGAAAAAAATTATGCGAAGATGTATCAACAGTATCCCAGTCAAGTGCCAAAACTGATTTTCAAAATTTCCGACAATTTCGACATTAAAGATGCATCACGATCTGGAACATCAATTGAAGCTAATGAAAACAAACTAAAATGAAACTAATATGAAAAAAAACGAACAACTCAATATTCGGGATAAACGAGAGTGAGAGCGTGTTATCGATTGTTAGATCGATCGATGCGAAGAAGTAAGCAAGTAATCTTGTTTTAAATAAATTAAGATAATTTCACTTCGGTCCAATTGATTATTATTCGTGATTTGCAGATTTCGATTGTTATTAACAATCGTTCGAATATCTGGGATGAAATCGGATGTGGACTTGTATAAAAATCAAATTTTCAATGTTACCATGTCATTAAAAGTGAACAACGAATAATGTGATCGACATTCGTCTTGAAATAATAACGAAATTAGAGAGAGATTTTGAGACGAATGACATCCCGAAGTTCGCGTTGAAAATACGATTCATCGAGACGATTCATTGACATTCGTTTCTCCCGCATTAATATTCCATAGGTAAAGTATTAATTAGAATGATTAATTTTTTTTAATCGAAGAAATATTTCAGATTCAAAGTCGTTATCAAAATGATGGACGTATCAGGACTTTCGAAGAACGTTTCGAAGAAAGAGCTCAAGTTCGATGATAAAATGGAAATTTACTAAGCTTAGTCGAGTAAAAAAAAATAAAACACAAAAATATTATCAATTGGTGTATATATATATATATATATATAACGAATCCTATATTTAATTACTTTACAAAATGGCATCAAAGAGGGCAAGAAACGGTATGTGGTTTGCTTTTAGAGACAATTTAAATGTATGTGGATATAGAAAATATTGAAAATATTGAAAATATATCAAACAAAAGATCGTATGAAGTAAAAATAAAGTAGAAAATAAATTTCTCGAAACGTTCTCTTTCAGAAATGAATTACTTAACCACGAATCTTCTTCTTCACTCACAACATTGGGGATATTATTATTATATACTTAAATGCAACGAGTATTCATATCAGCGTATCACTTTACGTATATTTAACAAACAATAAATGATATTTAAGAATTTTGTCTATAATTATCCCGACGTTACAGAGAAACTTGGAAAGAGGCGTTAAAATTGGAAACATTTGTGCCAATACTTAATTTGATGAATTTAATCCTCGATTGTTCGGAAAGTAATTTTTCCATTGTCATTTACACCCGTGGTCGAAGACTTATGAGAGATAGTCTTCCCATCCGGACCAACCATGGTGTGCGAGCTCGAGCTGGAGAATACCCCATAGCTGTTTCCAGATGGTGGAGGCACTTCCTCGCCAAATCTTGATTCCACGCCTGGTCCAACCTGAAGAGAAGAGAGCAAAAATTCAAGCAATGTTTTCGAATCGAAAAATATCAATAACCGACCAAGTCCAAGATTTGAATCAGAAGAATCAAAATTTTATTACTTACCGGATTGATCGCGCCAGCTTGATAACCACCTTCTGGTCCCAAATTAATGCTGGACACAGCACTGTGCAAGGGTACAGAGTTCGGGTCACCGGCTATGCGATTTGTCGCGTCGAAGATCCTTGGATAATAACAAGATTTGAAAATTGTAATCTTCGAATCTTAAAACTTCACCCTCGAATTTACCCCCTTTTACTTACGATTGCTGTTGCTTCTGGAATTGAGCTTGCAACTGTCTGAAATTTTCCTCCATTTGCTTCTGGAAATCGGCGAAGTTGTAATCAGGGAAGGCGAACGAACTGGGATCGTACACGCCTGTAAGAAGATGAAGCGATAAATTAGCAAAAAAAAAAAAAGAAAAAACGAATTTATTATATTTATCTTTAACATTCGTGCAATATAATTATCCTACGTATATAAATATGCACGTGAAGCGAAGTAAAATTAAACAATTTCTCTAAACAATTACATAAGAAGAGAGTTTGCAACACGAGGCGCAACACGATCGTAAATCAAAGCTCGTCACGTTCGAAAAGTGCGAATTATTTAATCATTCAATAAACATTTATATAAATATCAAAGCTAAAGTTCGCGCATACACTCTCGGTGAAATAAATAAAAATAAAAACACGATTATTTTCCCATTCTCTCTCTCTCTCTCTCTCTCAAACGCAAAGCGTGCATCGTCGCACAACGTGCGTCACACCTATCCAACGATCCCCCATCGGATAAATCCTCTCGAGTTTTTTTTCTCGCCCCGTTCGTTAAATATTACCTCCTCCATAGCTACCATATCCCCCACTGTTATACACGCCTGGCGTAGGTGCGTTGACCGTGTTCGAGGTGTCGCCATATCCTCCTGGATATCCTCGAGGATAACCGTTATAATTCGTGGGTATATCAGATGCTCCGCCGGCAGAGGCGCTCGCCGAGGCGAAAGACGCCGCTCCACCGCTTCCATAACCTCTCGTTCCAGCGTTGGTTCCGGCCCACGCGTTGCTGTTCGGATTGTAGGTGTCGCTGTAGGGCGAGGAGAAGCTGGGGACGAAGGACGGCATGAAGAAAGGAAGGGGAATTGGAAGTTGGGATTCTGAGGATTGTTCGGGATACGATTCGACTTCGATCCAGGCCTCCCTTCGATTCCCACCTGTTCCCGCTTCGGCTCCTCCTCGTCGTCGGGGGAGCCGAGGCGGGCACCGATCGCCGGCTTGCTCCCTGCCGCTTTCCCCCTCGGTTTGCTCGCCGGATCAGCCTCCTCGGAGCTCGCCGTCGGTTTTCCCTTCGGCCTCTTCGGTCTTTTCGAATCGTTCAACGGTTGTCTTCTCCCCCCCTCCTCAGGCTCCCTCTCCTCCTCCTCCTCGGAATTCGCGGGCCACGCCTTCGGTTTCGGCCTTTCCGCATTCGGCAATTGTCTCGCGGAAAGCTCTTCCTCGGAACTCGCAGGTTTTGCTTTCGCTCTCGGTCTCGGCTTCCCTCCTCTCGTCTCGCTTTCCGGATCCAAGTCCTCGGTATCCGCTCTCCGCTTCCCTCCTCCCGAATTCGACTGCTCGGGTTCCGCGACATTTGCCTTTTCGGACGCTTCCCGATCCGGCTCCTCGGGATCTGCCTTCGGTTTTTCGGAGATCTCGGGGTCCGGTTGCTCGGCACCTTCTTCAGGACTCGTCGGTTTCGGCCTCGGCCTCGGTTTCGGTTTCGGTGTGGTCGATCTGCCGGCCGGCTTGGGCGCCGGCCTCTTCGGCTTCGAATCGGCGTAAGGATCTTCCCTCGAGTCGGGAGGCCCGGTGGTAGTTGGACTTTTCGGTGGTTTGGTGGTGAGAGGTGATCGGGGAGAAGGTGATTCGGACTCGGTGGTCGAATCTGGCTCGTTCGTCGCCCTTCGAGCCACGTTCTTGGGAGTGTTGGATTTATCTCCAGAGGGAGCTGCGCTCCACGGATTCGTATTTTCGGTAGTGGGGTCGGGGGGGATCAGTGTGTAGAGGTGCAAGGTGGAAACAGGCAAGGCGGTAGTTCGAGCGTTCGAGGCGCTGGATTCCCGTTTGCCCGTCCTCGATATCCCATCCGTTGCGATCGCTCTATCTTCCCGCAATCCATCTTCGCCGATGAAAAGAAAGAAAACAAGGATTTGTTGTTGTGGTTGTGGTTTTTAACTTTGTTTTCGGCCACCACGTGCCTTTTTTTTTTTTTTTTTTTCTTCGTTGTCAACGTCTCACGAGCAAGTGTTTTTCAAGGTTATATACGTCGGCATGCGGCGGCATCGTCTCGATCCGTCTTTAATTTTCTTTTTTTTTTTTTTCTTCCATTCTTTGGTTGTTATTCATGCATGTTACAAGGAAAACGTGTATTATTTTTTTCTTATCGTCCTCTCCTTCTTTTTTAGGGATTTAATTCACACGCACGCACGCACGTACGCACACACAAGAATTTACACGATTATCTTCCTTCCGACACGTGCAATTTTAGTGCGGTTTAACAACACAACAAAACATGCGGAAAGGTGATCTGAAAAACACACATTTCGCATGCAAACACATTTCTCGAGGAGCACCAGATTTCGCCCATTTTGTGGGACGAAAACGAGAGAGGCGAGGGGGGCGTTCAAGCGTTAACACATAAATAATAATAACACGAATAAGTCGAAATAAGCGCCATCTGAAACGTGATAATTCGATGGGGGGAAAAATATATATACAGGTATTTTGTATTTTTATCCTATTTCGATTCTCGAACACGATTCTTTTTCATTCATTTTGGAATTCGTTTTACAATTTACATCCTCGTGTAAACATCGCGTTGCCAATGTAAATGGGAGGAAAAAATATATATTCGTCATCGAAAAAAATCCCTAAGATTTTAAAAAAAATTCTTTGTCCATCGTAAATCATCGATACACCGTACACGTATTTAATCAAATTACTCGAGACACGCGTCATAATTTGGAAAGTTGTTTTAAGTATATACACCAGAAAGTGGAGATGGATTCCTCAAGGTCGCGATTCCTCCGAGTAACTTTCCGATTCTAATGGAACTCGTTCGAAAGGTTAAACGA